CTACTACGAATATCCTCATTTCATTATCTCATCCTCTCCTCACGCACAGAAACTTCGATCATAGAATGACATTGAGATGTCTCTTACGCCCAGCAATGAAGGACCACGTCTTAGATCCATAAGTCACCACTGGCAACACGCACTGATTGTACAATTTTATTTTCAAGTTTTGAAGTATACGTGAAGAGAAGATGCGTCGTAATCTCTCAAACGCTGCCCAACCGAGTTGAAACTACTGATTGACCTCTACGGATTTTATCGCGTTAAATTTAACTTATTTTCAATACCCGACGTTCGAGTGCTGACAGACAGACAGACAAAAATTTTAAAAATCGTGTTTTTGTTATAAGTACCATAGATACTTTCATATGCGTATAGTAAAAAGTAGTTATAGTCCGATTCGGGAATCCGAAACGGAATTCCGTATGTATGTGGCCAGCCTTAGACCGTTCTTTAACAATCAGATTTCGGAAACGTTTCTTCTAGTACAGTGCTAAAATACGTTTCCTATTCGTTCTCCGTTCGCGAACTACACAAGACTACTATCTAGTGTGACCATATGTGGCAAATTCCTGCCATTTTGGCAAGATTGGCCTCTTATTTTAGCCTCTGGCATGATCAGTTAATGTTTTATAAAACCTTGCAGTATTAGTTAGTAGTATTAGCAGTATTGTTGTATTAAAAGTAGATTTCATTATGACAATTTAAAATACCGAAAATGACAATCCTAGATACTTCGCCAGCATGTGGAGGATTTCCCTGTATTTCTCGTATTATGTTTGTTCTCGTATTATGTTGTTTGTTGTATTGTTGTATCACATTCAATAAACAACTTTAAAAGTTTGTGTGTAAAGTTGATAATTTTAAAACGAGTATTCATAAACACGATTTTATAATTAATATTTCAATCAGTCATAGAAGAGACGTACTTTAGTTTGGTATCGCATTAGATTTCATGTTGATAATATCTTGTTAATAATATTTCATGGACGATAGTAATTATAGGTGGTGATGATGAAGCGAAAATATGAGAGGGCGTATAGAGCGGAGTGGGAGTCCTTTACTTTCATCGTGGATCTCCAAAGCTAAAGACAGACTGTGTAACTGCAAATTGGCATCCATCCGTTTTAAAAGAGCATGCCGCTACAATTAAACATCAAAAAATATAAGTGGATTCAGCAAGCGAAAGATTATTCTATTCTTCTAAAATAAAATTAGCCTAAAGTACTCGTTATAACATCTATTATCTGCCAGTGAAAGTCCCGTCAAAATCGGTCCAGACATTTCTGAGATTAGCCGGAACAAACAGACAGACAGACAAAAATTTTAAAAATTGTGTTTTTGTTATAAATATCATATATAATATCATATGCGTTTAGTAAAAAATTGTTATTTTGACATTAAAAACAGACATTTAAATTTTATTTATTTGTATAGAATTTTAAATTAGTAACCCCCTGAGAAACTGTCCACCTTTTTGTGAGAATATTTTATTATATATAATAAACACGCTGTAAAAATGGCAGACTGAATCAAACACTTTTTTTGGAATTTTTGAAAATTTGTGGTAGTTTGCCCCTATGTAAACCCCTTCAGAAGTGTCTGCCATTTTTTTTCTTAATTGTTTATAAACTTAGCTGACGGATAGTCATTATTATTATTTGAATCAAACACTGTTTTATGGGCAAATTTTTTTGCGACTTAACTGTATGCGCAGTACCACGTGTACCCAGGTAGGCCAGGCATACAGTCATATACCTGCTTATTGAGTCGACTGATACCTTTAAACAAAGTTTCATGATGCATCAAACACTTCATGAAAAATGCGTCATGACCTCTCGAACCATGGGATGATAAGGTACGGATAGAAGTTGAAGCAAAGAAGAGAGCATGGCTAAATTTACTAGCAACCAAAGCTAGTATTTCTGGCGGTATGAATGATGAGATTGAAAGAAAAAAGGCAGACTTTAGAAGTATAAATAAGAGAGTAAAAGAAGTTGTTGAAAGGAAAAAGCAAGAAAGGATAGATAAAAATGATAGAAGGATGATATCTGATAACTTCCAGGCAAATATTAAAATGTTCTGGAAGCTCGTAAAAACTGCCAGGGGAAATTCAAAACAGCCTAGAATGAATGCTATACGAGACGAGAATGGCTGCATGCTGAATTATGAAGTTTCGAATTTAAAGAGATGGAAGGAATAGTTTGAAAGCGTGTTTAAGAGTGAAGAGTCGTCTGGAGTAAGTGAAATATAAATTCCGGAAGAAGTGGAGAGAAGTAGGGAGATAAGTGTAGATGAAATAATGAAAGCAATGAAAAGCATGAAAGCAGGTAAGGCAGCAGGATATGATAGAATATCACTCGAAATGCTAAGGGCTAGAGAGGGTGTGGTTGAGGGCTGACGCGCACCTTGTTTAATTTATGTTGGGAACTGAAGCGGGTACCGGAAGACTGGTGCAAAGCCGATATAGTCCCAATATATAAGGGAAATGGCTCGCAGCAGGACTGTAAAAACTACCGTGGTATCAGCTTGCTTAGCATTGTGGGTAAACTGTATGCTAAGGTGTTAATTGAAAGAGTTATGGAAGAAACTGATGGAAAAATTTGGGATGTGCAAGCTGGATTTAGAAAGGGGATGGGATGTACGGATCAGGTTGTTTCCATGCGCATGATAGCGGAGAAGTTTTTGGACAAAAAGCAGAAAGTTTTTTGTGCGTTCATGGACTTTGAAAAGGCTTATGACAGAGTGGACAGGAATGTGTTATGGCAAACACTGAACTCATTTGGGTTGAGCACTGGTTTGATACAGGCATTAAGGTCTCTTTATAGGGATTCTAGTGCTTGTGTCAGGATCAACGGGGTCTACTCGGACTGGTTTGTCATTCATAAAGGTGTCAGACAGGGATGTGTGGCTTCCCCGTGACTGTTTAACCTATTTATGGACAGTTGTTTGCAAACTTTGAAAGTTGAAGAATGTGGGTTGAGAATGGGTGAGTCAACCGTCAAATACCTTTTGTACGCCGATAATCAAGTCATATTTGCATCGTCGGCTGCCGAGTTGCAAATAATGGTTACTTTAATGAACTGGTCATTGAAAGAAAGGGGTATGAAAGTGAACGCAAGTAAGACGAAAGTTGTTGGTTTTTGAAAGAGAAGAAAGTAAACCGTTATGTGAAATAAGAATAGAAGGGGAGTTGATTGAGCAAGTGGATGAGTTTGTATATTTGGGATGTTTATTTAGCAGGGATGGTAGATATGATAAGGATATGAACGACGAGTGAACGCAGGAAATAGAGTGAATGGGGCTCCACACGCTATTATGAGGAGTCAGAATGTGTCAAATAAGGCACGTATGGCAATTCATAATGCTGTGTTAGTCCCTACTTTAATGTATGGTAGTGAAAGTTGGGTCTGGCAGAAGAAGCATGAAAGTAGAATAAATGCTGTAGAAATGCGGTCCTTAAGGAGTATGCTAGGGCTGAATCTGAACGACAGGGTAAGAAATAGTGTGATAAGAGAAAAATGTGGTTTGCAAGATGACGTTGTGACAAGGATTAAGAAAGGAATGCTTCGGTGGTTTGGTCATGTAGGAAGAATGAACGAGGAAAGAGTGACAAAGCAAATGTATGTTGGAGAAGTGACCGGCAGGGTCGGCAAGGGACGCCCTAGACGAAGGTTTATCGACCAAATCGGCGATACATTAAAAATGGGCCAGATTAGGAGTATACTTAACCGACGAGCGTGTATGCGTAGATATATGGTTGTTTTAAAGATAACGAGAGAGGTGTGTCAGGATCGCGCCAAATGAAAGTCCGTAGTCTCTGCCTACCCCTATGGGTGACAGGCGAGTGTTTATGTATGTATGTAGCGTCTATGTTGACCGTTAAACAAGGCATTGGTGAGCATGGTGATACGTTTAATTTCTTATAGTGACCATATCAATATTAAAAATCTTTTATGTTTTAAATAAATAGATAGAACTGGCAATCGCACTAAACAATCTAATTTAATATAAAATGTATTACTTAAGAGATACATTGTGTTTTTATGGGATGGCCAAGTCAATCTATTTATTTAAAACATAAAAGATTTTTAATATTGATATGGTCACTATAAGATGTTGTTAAGTTAGCTAATTACGTAATAACTTAAGACAGAAGGACCCTTAAGTAGGGACTGAATAAATTAACCGACTTGGTATTACATGGATCTCACAAATTTTTACGGTAGGAGAACTGAGTTGCGAGACTTTGTTGTTGACTGAGTTTTTTTACATGTTATGTTTTTGATGGCATCTCATTTCTTTTTGTAGATAGTTATATCTACGTACCTATCTACACCTATTATTACAGTATCTTATACATAATATATAGGTACACTGATTCATTCAATGCAAATGTAACTTTGTAATCCTATATATTTATATGGGATTACAAAGTTATTTATGCAGTTAGTGTATCTCGAACACTGGACCAAAATTGCAAAATATTTTAATTTTTCGTTGATCTTTATACTAAATAATAATTGTATTTCAAATTTGAAGCTTCTATGTCTGCTAGAAGTGCCTTAGAGTTTTGATGATCGGTCGGTCGGATGATCGGATTAAGAAATTTTGACTAGTTATAATTCTTAAACTACTAGATCAAATTTAATGAAATTTGAAACATACCGAGTTTATACAATGCCTACTTACGTTACTAAAAATTCAGGCTTCTAGTCTTATCCACAACGAAGTTATAGGGTTTCTAAAATAGCCTGAACTGCTTCGAGAAAAGGATAGTACGGCCGTGCCGCTTTTTTGCTCCTAAAGGTTTTGGCCTAAAAGTCTAGATACCAGGCCATTGTAGGCCATAAACCCATAAACTCCAAAAAAAAGTACTATGCGACTATGCATACGAAAGTAAAAAGTATGTTATTTTTGTTTTAATAAAAACATAATATTGAAGAATTAAATAAATCAACTTAAAGGAATATATCAAAAATAAAACGAAAAGTAGAATTATGGAATCAGAAGGCCATTCAAGTATTTTGTATGAGGAAAGTGAAGATGCCATTGATCCAATTCACGATATCATTGACTATTTAGTAAGGTGCGCAAATGTTTCATTTAAAAATTCAAGCATTGGTGAAGCTGAGATTAGAACAACTGATAAAATTGAAATGGCTTACAAGCTTTACCAAAAATCACCCACACTATTTTTGATACAGTTTGGAAAATATCTTTCGCCGAATCATTTATCATATTTTGAAAATCTACATGACGAAAATTCTAAAAATCCTGCATTTATTGAATGTGTCAAATATTTAAAAGCTTATCATTCTGACCGAAGTAGGCATAAAAGAATAAGAAACAGACGATACAAAGCATTACAAAAGATGCAAGAGGAAACTGACTATTTTAGTGAAAGACAGATGATGTTCCGTAATCCCCTTTTATATGATCAACTAATTGGTCAGTATCTAGATGATGAAGAAATCTTAAGGCGGGATGCTGAAGACAGTAAAGACTTGACATTCTTAAATATTATTTTGAGTACTGTTGACATGAATGAAATGAAAGAGATAAAACATAGACAAATGCTTGAAGAAAGCTTAGAGTCTGGAGAAGGGAAAAAACTAAATGAAAACTGTGATCCAAACATTAAAAATAATAAGAAAATGTGGGGTGACTTTGATGAACCTGATTCTAGACCCACACCTAAGTTTGAAACAAGAACTGAAGCAACAATAAGCAGTCATGAGAGAGCAATGCTTCGTGAGGAATTTTTTCAAGAAATGTTTAGTAGTTTCCTCGAAGGCAGAGATGAACATATTGATTATAATTCTATAGATAATAATGAACAGTATGATGATCTGCAGCAAATTTCACAAGATGCAGAAGATAAATATTTTGATTCTGAACTAAATGATGTTGATAATTTAGAGGAGCATATGAAACTTGTTGAAGAGTATGGTAGAAAAATATCAAAGGATACTTCTAATGATCCGTTGGATGTATTTATGAAGCATATTGAAAGTAAAATTAATTAATATGACAATTTTTTTATCTCTACAAAGTCTCAATACCTCCAGATTATTTCTCTGTTCCTTCTCCAGTAACAATAATTTTATTTTGCAATAGTGATTAATTAAAAAAATATCAGATAATAATTATAAATCCAAATGTATAAAATATAGTTGTATGCAAAAACTGAAGTGGCAAACAAACTTACAGTCAACCTGATAGTGGCTACCGCAGTCCATGGATATCCGCAGCCAGCTCTAAACAAAGAAGGCTACAGATGCTTTGTTATCTTTGAGGACTATGATAGAACCTGTAATACTTATACTGGTACTGTATATCCCTATGCTGCTATAATGCAACAGATAAGAGGACAGTTCCTACTTAGGCATAACCCTATGCAGAAAAGAACCTACATACTACAAATAATTTATATGTAGCTATAATTTGGATATTTGTAATATACATTAATATCAAGATTTTTTTATGTTTTTAAGTGTAACTGTGTTTTTTATAGGATAAGGGTGACAAACGAGCACACAGTCCACCTGATGGTAAGTGGTTGCTGTGGCCCATAGACATCTACATCTATCTTCGATTACGAATCAAAATGCAGATGCGCTGTCACCTGTGAGTACTAAGATGGAATGCCTCATTTCCAGTAAAAAAGGTCTTCGGTTCTCTACACTCACCATACGAAACACAACAGGATTAAGTTGCTATTTTACACTGGTATTCTGTGAGAGTGTGGTCCTTCACCGGTCGAGCCAAACCATTCGTGCTACAACCATAATATAGCTGCTGCATGGCTCTACCACGTTAATATGTATTAATAATATTGAGTGCATTGTGTAATATTTAGTGCAAAAATTTAATTTACTGCAATAAATTTCTGTCACACAACTAGCTAGGTAGTCAACCTGCAGTATGGAGCTTACTGGGTTTACAATTCATAACGGAACAATCTGCACCTACAATTATTATAAATCAAATTTGTTTAAAATCAGTATGTTAGGTAGGTATTCTGACTGTGAACAATGCTATTACAGTACATGATTAGGGGAGTATAGACCTCTTGTGTTAGAGGCAATTATTAATGTTATTCATAAGCTCAGTTCGGACTATGCTATAATATATAGAATAAATATTTAGTATCACGTTAAATTTAGTATATCCTGATTTAATAGTTTTTAGAGTTCCGCAGTTACACAACATGGAACCCTTATAGTTTCACCATGTCCATCCGTCCATCCGCGGTTTTGCTCCGACCCTAGGTGCTCCAAATCTGTAATTTGGCACAGTTATAAATATTAATCACGCCTAGAAAACTGTGAAATAAAATCTTAAAAAAACATTTTTATTTTGGGTACTTCCCACACAAGTACATAAATGGAGGATGATTTTTTTTACTTGTCTATTCCATCATGTGAGGTATTGTTGGATAAGTGTTACAAAACATTGGGGGTGTTGAACAACATATTTTCGATTCATGGGTCCGTTTGCAAAATATTTAGCTTTAAAGTGGTATTTTTCATTAGAGTTATATGTGTGCCCCCCCCTCTACCAACTAAACCGTTGTTTACGGAAATGTGAAAAGTATACACAATAGCAGTATATGTAATGAAGTTATAAAGAAAACTATCACAGCAAGTAGAATTGAGAAGATAGTTGACCAACTTATGAAGTACACTAAAAATTTCGTTACAACTTCATAGAAAATGACCTAAAACTAGCTGCATTAACCCAGTTGTTACTGAAACTTTTTTTATCTCGAATTACAGTAATTTTTTAATATGGTTACATTGATGCATATAGTAAACATGGAAAAATACCAAAAAAAAAACTGAGTTTTCAGGAAATCTAGGAAAAGGCGGATTGTTTTAACGATCAGTAGTAATAGGCAGGTAGGTTAACGCTCTTAATATAACTACCACTTTATCGATTGTATCCAATTTTAAATTAAAGAAACACTGTTATTACTATGAAAGAGGCTTTATTATCTAATTGAAAATTTTTAATTAACAAACAAGTCTACCTATGTATGAGTATGGTAAGTAGCAAAACATGTTTTAGGGTGCAAATGGATTTTATATTTTTGACAAGGGAAGTTTGTGTTTTTTTTTTTGCAAAGCAAACATCGAAGCTGAGAGTCATTGTAGGTACTCTACTGGATGATCAACTCTATCGTAGCGTGAAGTTTCCCTGTAAGTTCTAGAAGTGGGACAAGGACCGCGTTTCTTATTTTTTTATGTTTCCAAGATTCCTCTAGCGACAGTTCTCCGGAATGTGAGATGATCGTACTCACGTCCATTATTTTTGCAAAGTTGCCACGCATTGTGTGTCGCCATGTTCAAGCAGTGAGAAAACAATGAGAAATACCATTTTTTGCCATGGATAGATGTACGATATAGACCGATGTTTTGGCCGACCAAAACATCGGTCTATATCGTACATCTAGGTCCGAACCTATCGACTCCCCCCATGTTTTCATTGTAGCTTTTTATAATTGTGCGCTGATTAATGAATACATATTTTTCTGCTGCTGCGAGAACCGTTTAGCTTTATGTAAGGGTTCGATGTTTTCTGAATTGGATGCTACTAACACCACACTGTTATCATTCCACTTGCAAACCAAAATATGCCCTGGTTGGCTAGACTTGTACTTGAATGTGCCCCTTTCTGTCTTCTTGAATTTTTTATTGGACGGCGAAGGACACTTTTTTGTACGGTCCTCGCGAATTGTTTCAGTGGCTTTGAGCCTTGTGTTACTCAATTCGTGAAAGAGTTGAATATAAGAAAAGAAATTGTCTAAAAATAAGTGAAAAGGCACGCCTGGGTGACGAAATTGTAAATAATCAGCAAAACGCAAAATCACACCCGATCCTATACCTAACTGCCTATAAGCCGGTGGGATAATTGCTGCATGGCCTTGGTACGGATCAAACCATAGTACGTATCCCAATCTAGTCCCTCCAATTTAGATTTTTTGGTACGGTTGGATCAACAAAAGGAACGGCTGACGTGCTGCTAATAACTGGAGCTGAATTAGATGTAGATGGCTCAGGTTGATGACCTTCCACAATCAGGGGTTCTTTGGTGGTTCGACTTCTTTTTGCTAAGGAAAACAAGAGTACACTGTCCTCGTCACTGTCGGAACACATGTATTCTATCTCAGCAGCAGCTCTTAGCTGAGAGACTAGATAGAAAAATATAAATATATATAGGTATATAACACCTGACATGAGAAAATAACGTAAAGATTTATACGAGATCTTTATCAAACCTGGAAGATTGTTCAGAGTTACAAACTCCTCATCACCAGAATTTTCATCTGTGATATCAGCATTCACGTTATCTGGTGGTAATATCTCTTGGAAGTGGGGCATCATCATCTAATTGTTCGAATTCGTCAATGATTTGATTGAGAGACAATGGTTTATTGGTATCCCTAGGTTTTAAAGTCATAAATACATCCCCAAATTACTACCAATCGTTAAAACGATCATCAATTATAATATCATTTGTTTTTTATAAAAGATATGATAAGATCAAATTTTATTTCACATTTTTGTTAGACAGGTTATAAAATTATAAAAAATGTGCATAAAATAAAATTCAAAGTCAAGCTAATTTGTAAACACTTACCGTTTTGAAGACATTGTGGAAATTAATTACGCTAATACGAATTAAAATACAAAAGCACTCCAAAATTATGATCATAAGATAATTATCTATGCATTGAAACACTGTCAAACGATCACTGCGGCGATTGGTAAACAATAAGTAATTAATAATTTAAATTCAGTAATTTTTAAATTCAGGGTATTCCCCATACGTTTTTTTGATCTTTATAACGATCAGTCGTTGTAAATGGGTTAAGATTGGTGTAATGTAATCAAACTTCGGTCACAGCAGCCAGGCTCAACGAAGACTAGGTATCTGAACAGGATTATAGCCCTAGTTTATGTGCAAGCACAGATGCACTATCTAATTTCTCACTCTCATAGTAAAAATGGGACTGCAATCAGACACGACTGGAGAGAGATCAGGTCCAGGATCAACATATCAGGGATTTCCGAGGCACGGGGTTAAAACACCGCCAACTTCTTGACTCTAGGCTGCTACTGAGAACTTTTTGACAAAAAACATTACCAATCTTTTTTTTTTGGCTGGCCTGTGATTCGAACCAGAGACCTTATGATCAGCAAACGCGTATTATTTTTATAGAATAGGTATGGGTGAAAAACGAGCACACAGTCCACCTGATGGTAAGTATATGCTGATACCCATACACATCTTCATTTATCTTCGGTTATTATGATTGAAAATGCAGAATGCGTTGTCATCCCTGAGGACTAAGATGCCTAATTTCCAGTAAAAAGGTCTCTGGTTCTCTACACTAACCATACGAAACCAGCAACATTAAGCTGCTATTTTACGCTTGTATTCTGTGAGAGTGAAAGTTCCTACCCCATTCGTGATACAACAATAAAAATAGCTGCAGCTCTACCACTAACATTTCCGACCACTAGACCAACCAGGCTATCAATAAGGCCTGGTAGAAAGGTGTTTCGCTTTTGAATGCCTTAGTTTTATTTTAAATATGAAATGAAATGCAAAAATTGCCTAGTGTTTAACGTCGATATTCATGTTAAAAACTGGTCAGTATATGCTTATGACTATTTTCTACTTTAAAAACTCAAAACTATTATTGAAGTGTTTTAGAAAACGTGGAAAAAGTGAACAGGGGTAGATTCAGTTTTTTTTCTGGAAGGGGCAAAAGGGCCACCGCGCGCTATGTATAGTTTATACTAATTACATGGGGTGCGTAAACTTTCCATTAGCGTGGTAGTTGTAATGAAAGACGTACACGACGTTTTGACCCTGCCTCATTATTGATTTTATTCACCTCTGGTACTAACGCAAAGCAAATTAAATGTGGTCATATATTTTAGCCCGAAAATTTTCTTCTTATTGCTAGCAGCTTTAGTGTTCCTAGTTCGACTTCGAAGGAAGTCCCTATGTCTCC